CTGACTGAAATCACAAATACGCTCATTCCCTCTTTAAACAGACTTCCCGCAATCCGCCGGTGACATTTTCATGTCTTTAGAGGACATCTCTCACAGTGTTTGTTTTGGCTCACGCGGGTGTTTTTGCTCCTGAGTCTGTATTTCAGATGCAGACAGTAGTAGATTTAGTTTATAGAGGCTTTCAGTCGCTTTTCTTATCAGTCTGGTGCAGAGAATCCCAAGCAGTGGTTGATACTGCGGGTGTCGTGTGTCTCATGCCACATGCTACAAAAGCAGATGCTGGTTTTCCTCTGATGTCAATGTTTTTAGGTGTCTTGTTCTGTATTTTCTATGAGTGTGATCTAGTTTAAAATAGACTATAAATATCAATCTCTGCAGTTCTTCAGGTCTGAGATCAGGGTAGCTGCAGTATGAATGTGTGAAATTGATTTAAGGTCAGTGGGGGTCAGGTTTGCTTAAACAATACTCATCTTTATCAAAGATTATATCTACCTTAATCATTTTTTAAAATAATAACTTTCTGCTATACTGAATAAATTCAGTATAGCAGAATCATCTTGTGATTCCAAGATGATTCAGTACACTGAGCTGCAGAGCACACTGGGGATATGCACTGTTTCTACAGACTTAAAGGTGATCTAAGCAATATTCGCAAAACCCAGTATTTGAATAATATTGAAATAAAACATCAATAAAGGCGTGCATATTGCGCGCTATTGTGAAGATATGAAAAAGTGGCAGTCTTATTGGGTTATGGGCAACTTTTTTGGTGTTTCATTTGGCAAAATTAGTTTAGAGCATTTTTAATTTTCTTCTAGGGAATGTAGTGTAGCTGTTTGCGAATGCAAAAGGTCTGTTGAGTTTTAAAGGATAAAGCTCATGATGAATGGAGTTATTGTTTGCCAATAAAAGAAACTATTCTGAACTGATGCAAATTTATAGAGTAAGACCAACACCATTGATACTGTTTGAAAGCCTTTAGTTCTGAGGAGGCCTCTGAAGTAAAAGTTCAGGTTTCTTAATGGGTTCATCATAGGGCAGGGCGATTAATCGGAATCAACATTCAGAACCAATAATTGATCTAATTTTTCCTGGTCGATTTTTATTATTATTTTCCCCCCCTCCCAGTTACTTTCCCTACCATGTGTGGAGTCACGTAACCCCTCTCTGTTTGTTACTTTTGTGTTACTCTACACTAAATTGATGATTGACGAATCTGTGCCAGAGATTCCTTAAGATGGAATATTTTCCATTACATCAAAATTATTATTAAAATGAAAACATCTGTTTATAGAAGATGCAAGAAATGCACTGTTAAAAATATTATTTAAAGGATATGCAAGAGTTATTTTATTTAGACGAAATGCTGCTTATTTTCTACTTTTAATATGAAAACGCTAAAAATGATTTATTTTGCAAGTTATTCATTTTCACTTTATAGAAAAAATAATAATGTTGTTTTAAGCAAAGTGTGTTTTAATTTTAATTGTTCAACCTTGATGTTCAACAAATAATCATAAATAGTAGATTGCGTTTCCTTCAATTATTTTAAAATCAAGTAATGCTAATCTCTCGCTTGTAATATGCGAGCATATTCACTGTACAAAACCTGTCAGTGAACTATAGGGGACAATGCTATAAGTGGTAGACCAATCACAAAGACTGGGCCATCTGACCAATCGGACAATGGCAGACTCTCTTAAAGGAGTGTTTTAGGCTCAGATAACATGAGAAAAGAGCTGATGTTGTAGCGTACAGTGATCCCTCGTTATTTGCACGAGTTATGTTCTAAAAATAACCTAAAATAGGTGAAATCCGTGAAGTAGTCAGCTTTATTTTGTACAATTATTATAGATGTTTTAAAGCTGTTAAACCCCTCACTACACACTTTACACTTTTCTCAAACAGGCATTAACATTTTCACCCTTTTTTCTTGTTTAAACACTCTCAAAGTTCAAACCTTCTTATAAAAATAAGTGCAGTATTATAGAATGAAACCAAAAATCAAAACCATTTGATCTTCATTTATTTATTCCATAATAATTGCGCCCTACAGCCGCGTAACTTCCTTCCTTTAGTCTGTCTAAAAGTTAAACTTTTTGTAGGATTGTTGGGATCTTCCTCTGCCATTTGGGTGCTACTGCAGGTGTCTTTAATAGTGCAAACTTTTCATACACATTGTAGGGAGAAAGCTTGCAAACACGCAGTACAGCACTTCAGAGTCAAGAAGCTAGCGATCAAAGATTTATTTAAATTTGGCAAGCTGAACGCATTTTGTACTGTACAGGGGACACGGCATGGGGGAGATTGATTGACAGTGTTCCAGTCAGGGCGCAGAACACAATGCACTAATCAGGATGCAGAATGCTCTGTAGAAAAAAATGCTTGTCAAAATTCAACTTTGAGGCCTTGAAAAAGTGAACAACAAGGGACAACTGTATATTAAATTTGAAGTACTGTAAACCAATTGTAGGAGTGGTCTAAAACTAAATTAGGAAAGATTTCAAATATCATAATAGAGGTGCTTAATGCAGTCGTTAGAGGTGCTTAATACAAAACACAAAAGATGTTTTCTGCATGTTTTACAAATGCACATTCTTCTATTTGGAGCATAGACCTAGATAACACTGAAGAGTTTGTAAGGCATTGTCTAATTTTAATTAAACAACACCACTGCCTGTATGCTTGGCCTTTATAATCATGCTCACCGCCATTGCAAAGCCCACATTATTTGTTCTGTTGTGAAGATTACATTTTCCCTATCTATTAAAGCTGTGGTAGCCTGGAGAGTGGCTAAATTTATTTTCCAATTATGTGTTACTTTGTGTTAACATTAATAATCTTCTCAGCGCATTGCTTACTTCATTTTTATCTATAAAATGTAATAATTTTAAAGGGGTGCTATTAGGGGTCATCAGACCTTAAAATGCATGCAAATTATTTTTCTTGTCAAAAGGTTTTGAGTGAAACCTTCACAGATGCAATCTGGGGACACTTGAGACTTTTGTTAGATCATTGTCTACACGCCAGATAAATAAGATCCTGCCCCTCACATCAGATCTTGTCGGTAAATGTCAGTTTCTCTAGGTATTTGGACAAGAAGTCAGCAGAGATTTCAATACCCAAACCTGTTAACCAGTATTCAACTGAATTAGCAGTCTGCTGTCAATATAGCAGTTGACTGTGGAAGGAAGCCAGAGAAGAGCAGAAGCAGAAGACGAAGTGATGATAATAAAAGAGCTGGGATTATTGAGTAATCTTAGTTGCATGTGTTTCAGTGCACGCTCATACTTCGCCTGAACAGCACAAACATAACTAATGTTATTATACATCAGGCCACAAGACCTTGAATTAGAGACATACCCTCATAACTCATATCAGTGGAGAGGAACATTTCATGAAACACCATCAAAATAAGACTAAACAATGGAAAAAGCACTCAAGTAAGTAATATTTATATAGTGCATTTGTCATGTATGGCCATACACCCAAAGCTCTTCACAATCATGAGAGGGTATCTCTCCACACAACCACCAGTGTGCAGGATCCACTTGTGTGACCCCAGCTATAGTTTGAGTGGAGGCAGTGATAGAGCCAATTTGGTGGATGCGGACAATTGGGAGGCCATGATCGTTAAAGGCTTATGGAGATAATTTGGCCAGGAAACTGGGGTTATACCCCTACTCTTTATTAGAAGTGCAACAGGATTTTTAATGACCACAGAGAGCCAGGACCTCGGTTTAACATCTCATCAGAAAGACGGCACTCACTGACAGTATGGTGTCCCCTTCACTTTACTGGGCATTGGGACTTAAACGGACCACAGGTTGAGCACCTCCTGTTTGCCTCACTAACATCACTTCCAAACAGCAGAACAAGTAATAAGAAACATATAAAATAAAAAAATGGAATCAATAAATGGTTAAAATAATAAATGGTAAACATAAATGAAAAAAAATGAATTGAATAAATGGATGACCAAATGAATAACTAAGATTTATAAATGATAATATAACCATAACTGAAATTATTAATGCAAAAAACAAGCCATTAGGGTTGCACGGTTTACGGGTTCTATGGTAGTATGGTGATACTATGGCTCTGAAATACTGGCGGTGCCATTGTTGTTTGTAAACGATAGTATCGTCATTAATGGTTTATCTACAAGAGATAATGTTACATATGGAAAAGTCACTAAAATGCTCACACGCTTGTGCAACAATAGACCTTTTTATTTGATTAGTCTGTGTAGCCCTTTAAGGTTGCAAACGTGTAGAATTCACATCTTTTTTGGTAGCCTATTGCACGCTTTCTAACACTTCAGTTTGAACGCACATCTGAATCAATCATTGCTGTTCCTGTCAATATGATTTAGTAGCTACAACAAAAGTGACAATCTCTTAAAAAAAAAAACGACTCACAAAGTGAAATTTTAACCTACTTTGGATTGTTACCCTATTAAGACTGAAAAAAAAACTGATAAATAACCCAAAATAGCAACAGGAAACATTGAAATAATTTTTGACCACTTCATATGGCCTAATTTTGTTGGAAAAATGCTCTTTTTATGACAAATTTCATTCGGTATAGTTTGTATTTTTATTTTAATGTATTTTTGTTAGTCAGTTATCTAAAAAATAAACAAAGAAAATGAATGCATTTTTGGTGAAGTGAGGTAAAAATAATACTTTTAGGCCTCAAGGGAGTTAAATTCAAGTAGGCCAATTATAACAAAATATATTCTTTCTGAAAATTTTCTTTAGTATTTGAGTTATGAATTACGGTATTATACACTACTTGGTGTTGTGATACTTCAGCTGGTATAGCATCATAAGATTAATTAATAGTATCGTGACAACCCTACAAACCATAATAGATGATTACAAATTTCAGATTCCACACTTTGTACATCATGTTAAAAACAAATATATAATTTATAAATTAATAAGTGGTCACTGTTTTCATCCATTCTCAGAATCCGTTGTTCTTTCCTTTTCCAGGAGCTGAGGACGTGGTGATGGCCTTCTCAAGATCAGAGACGGAGGACAGGAGACAGTGACCTCTCGCCAGGCCGAGTCACTACAGCTCAACGCAACACAACACTGTTGACTGATGGAGAGGGCGGAGCCTGAGACAGGAGAGGGGCGGAGCTCTGCTACACGCCAGCTGCTCCACTTCCCTTCTCTTCCCCATTCCCCTCTTCATCCTCACACTAACTGTTACACTATCTGGCCCAGCGGCCGCACTACCTGGTGACGTACAGCAAACCAATCAGAAAGAGGCCTGGAGGGTAATTATTTGAATTAGGTGTTTTAAGTTTCAAATTTTCCTCGTTCATCTTGTGGCGTTTTATATTTGTTCCCAATGAGAGACTTAATGGACCAAGAGCTTCATTTGTCTGGTCAAACTACGAAAGAATATAAATCGCCTTATTGGTTGTGTTATAATTACAAACCGTTTTCTTTTTTATGTATGTAGCTTCTTGTTTTTATCGTCCACAGGATCCTGCAGGTAGTCTTTTCTTTTGTTTGTTATGATTTTCAGGGTTTTCTTTTTGTTGTAGTAGTCACTTGCTTTGTAATTTCATCAAAATGTTGTCGTGGAGGATATCGACGTTTTCCAAGAAGATAAGGCCCTTACACAAGCACACACACTCAGAATGACGTATACCAATATTTCATGATCTCTCTCTCTCTCTTTTTTTTTGGTTGTTTGGATTAATGTGAAATTTCATGGCATCCTTTTGTACAGAACATGAGATGAAAAACAAGTAGAAAAGTGAACGAGTTGTGCCAACTGTGTTTTTATGTAAAATATTTCTAAAGGTATCTAATGAATGTCTTAGGTCCTTATTTATTTTTTTCAACGTCTTACAATGTAGACCAACACAACCCCCTTTTGAACTTCTGATTCGTAACAGCATGTTTTAATACAGACGTCTTTCGACATTTTTGCAAGATGTGCCATACTCCGATACGAGTGTTTGTCACTGTATATCTGATTCAGTGGTGCTAGCCAAACTCATTTTTAGCTATTCTAACTAAAGTTAAATATGAATATAACCCTTGGATTCTAAATGTCCTGCGATTAACTTAATCATCGAAAACCAAACGTTTTTATTTTAACTATCAACAGTTGAATTTGTGTTTTGGCCTCTGACCTTTTTAGTATCACGATTTCATGTTCAGTATTTAATGCGTATTCATGTTTTGTTGACTTGCGTAACATAATTATTGTATCTTAGTGTTTTGAAATGACGCATGCCTGCATTGTGGTCTACGGTATATGTTCAAGTTATGGTCACAAGAGCCTTGCTGCATTAAACGTCAGTCTACACTTTTAAATCTGTCCTTTTATGAAAACGGCTTTTATAGTTCTGGCTAATATCAGCAATAAGTATTTGACTGAATGGCGTCAGCCGTCAAGGTTTCTTGTCCATGTGACCGTCGGATTATCTCACCACTTACAGGAACGTTAACTGTAAATCTTTTTGTCTATGCATTGTTTTTATTTCGCATACAATCGTGTCTTACATGCACTCATTTCAAGTTGAGTTTGTGGCCTTTCAGCTTCGCATTCATACGAATGTCGCTCTTGTTTAATTCATCGACTTCACTGCATGTCGTCCCTACTCGCTTGAGCTGTTAAACTATTTAATGTGAATTGCTTTTTTTTATTGTTTTAAAATTCAATTGAATAGTTGTTTTATGACGTACAGCCGTCAACGTCGTCCCTTGACTTAAATGCGTCCAAAATCTATACCAACTGAACCATTAAAGGAGTTGAAAACTGCCTCTTTGTATTGGACGTTTGTGTTTCGAGTGGCTTTTATTGTGGAATCTTAATAATAGGAGTGTGCTGTGTTTTGAGCTCTCTGTAAGTGAGATAAGATTTAAGCTCATAATAGGGGGAATATTTTGCTCCTTTTCATGGAAGACTCTGGAATCTGATAAGATACCAGCACAAGAAAAACAAAATCTAGGACATCGTAGATTATACATGAGTAAAAATGCTTAAAATGTAAATACATGTGCTGTAAAATATGCAATTTGGTGAGTCTTGTTGTTTGGCCATGTTTGGGTTTTAGAAAAATGTTTATTTTTTTCAAAGTTGACCTGCTGATTTATGGGTATTGTTGTTATTATTTTTTATAATTATTATTATTATTATGATTATATATTGGTTTTACCAATTTTATCATTTGCTATATTTGAAATCATCAAACAAGTGCCCATAATTCTGACTGTACCTATTAGTTATATTCATTTTTGTTGTTTAATATAAATATATATTTACAAACCAGTTTAGTTGCTGTAAAAACAAATGTGTAACTCAAAATCATTTGAGTTAATGGGGGAAGCCCTGTTTTATAGTAAAAATGGTCTCAAGCTAATGACTTTCTTGTTGTGAGGTGAGCCACCCTCCCGCCCCAAACTAAATTAGTGTTAACTTGATAAACTTAAGTATGGGAGAGCAGAGACAAAAGTACCATTTTTCAAAAAACTTAATTTTAAAAGAATGTTTTTAGCAGAAATATGTTTTTGCTTTGAGTATTAACTCACAAGAGTGAGTTGGGTGTTATTTTGTGATAATGTAGAACAACTCCAATGTAACTTCAGTTTAAACAAAAGTTGCACATGGCTACTTTTGACCCTGTTAGTAAGGACAAAAGAAACACAACAATATTTGCTAGATTTACTTGCCTAATCTTCTTTATTTCAAATATATTTGATAATGACCTTGTTAATGTTCACAGCAAACATATTTTGTCTTTTATTTTTGTCAAAAAATATTAAACTGCATTTATTTATTTTAAAATTCAGTTGCATCAATTGTTTTAAAAGCAGTCCAACAATGCAAAGTGTTAATATTTTCTACAATTTTTTATTATTTTTGTATTATTATTGGCAATATGCAGTAATTTTATAAAACATCTAAATCCAAATACTGCAAACTCTAATGTGGATGCGAAAAATAAGGCATGGCTATTAACTGTGGGACATAAATAACAGTGTTACTTTCATCCACAGAGGGACTTTTACCATTATTCTGTTTTATTTTTAAACTGAAAAACTCAGACACTACAGAATTAAGGATGCGTTATTGCACTAAATGAACTGTGCATTGATCATTACTGTGATTCATGAAAAGAGAAACATAACTTGTAATAAAATAAAGATTAAGAACCGCTGCAATAATTTACTTTCTGCACTTAAAAGCTGAAATTTAGAGGTAACAGAAATCACATGATAATTGGCAGCTTCATCAAGGGTTGCATACTAAGGCCCCGTTTACACTAGTGCGTTTTATTTTTAAAACGGCGTTTTAGAATGAAAACGATCCGCGTCCACACTCGCGTTTCACCCAGCGTTTCTGAACTGCTCTCCGTCCACACCAAAACGCTGAAAACGCACATCACGTGACCACACACACACTCTCAGGCAAGCGCTGTAGCCAATCTACCCAGATGAGAGCTCTGCTAGTCGGACTTCTCATCAAGCATCTCCCGCTGGATCTAACCTCACTATATTTATTAAACGGAATATTTCTTTCATCTTGTTGTCTTTATTTAACGACATATTCATTGGACATTGGAATCTATTACTTGTTCTCAGGTAACGTGTTTTGGCTAAGCGCAAAGATAAGTTAATGATTAATGTAAGCACGTACATTCTGTATATTGACTGATCGCTTGCCTTTATTTCCTATAATGTATAAACTTATTGTATGTTATACTTTTATAATGGCCATTATCGATTAAAACTGATATTCAGCAAAGAGAGGGTGTGTTTCGTATTTTCACTGAAATTGAAAGGAGGCAGTTGTTGTAGGCTCCGTTTTGTTATAAATATGCACACAGTGAAGATGACGCTCATATTTGCAGCACGGCGCCTCAACATTTTTGCTGTCTGTTTAGTTGTTAATATTAAAATGAAAATAGGCAGTTCCTTATATCATGTTTACATTTTATTGTTGAGAAAGTAAAACAACGTAGCCAGGGTGATGTGAATGAAGTTATAAAGTACACTGTTCCCTTTGAAGATTTCCCCGTGTCCTCGGTATAGTCTGTTTTCCATATCAAACTGAGAAGAAGAGACTGCAGCCATGATCAAACTTGCGAAGTTTTAACTTACACGGAGAAGATGCAGGACTGAACTGTGTGTTAGGCTACTTAATATTCAGGAAAAGCCCCAATCAGAGAGGCGAATGTCTGCAGCCCCGCCTCCGTTTTCAAATGTCTCCGTTTTCCATCATCCACACTGAGACGGAGCAGCTGCGTTTCAGAATGAAAACGGCCTCTCCAGCGTTTTCGAAACGCTCCGTTTTCGGCGCTCGAGAACTCCGGCGCAGTGTGGACGGATGGCGTAACCGTAGCAAAACTTATGCGTTTTCAAACTAAAACGCATTAGTGTAAACGGGGCCTAAATGTGCTGTTATAACCTTGAAAGCAAATGTTCAAGAAAATCGATTTGTTAGTTTTTTAGGACGTTACTTCCGTCCCCGCTCTCCCCTATTTTATATATTAGTTTATTAAATAGTAATTAAAATAGTAGTATTTTCTGTCAAGATTTTACTCCCAAGTGCAATACCTTTCAAATGATATAAAATTTTAAATATATTATTTATGTAACGGAGGCCAGCTAGCAAAGTGTTATGAAGGCAAACCTCACTCCTATGACCTCAAAAGGTGATCTTTAGCCTCCTTGTTGGAGCAGCCAACTCCCATGCAAAGAATCACCGATTTAATCCCAGCTCAGAGCCAGTTGGCTGCAGTAGGACCTGTGGGTTTCCATGGGGGCTCGTCCGGGATGAAAGTGAGATTTAGGGGGTGAGTTTAACGAAGGCCAGCTAGCAAAGTGCTATGGAGTTAAACTGGTAAATGAATAATATTAAACAGTTAAAGCATCATTTTCATTTACACTTCATTACAAAATTATTGTTTTCATTTTGGTGTGAATAAAATGAAAGTAATACTCTTTATTGTAGTCCTTAGTTGTGAAATTTCTAATAGGTTTCAATTAAATAAGCTTCATAAATTTATTTGAAGATATGGTAAATTTTAAAAACATAAAAAAATGAAACTAGTTTTGTAACTTCATAGTTAGTATTGTGCTGAACAGCCGTAGGTGAGAGTACAGTATACATGTCTGCGACTAACAGCAGACTCTGATCTGTTTCTCCATTCTGATTACATGAATTCCCCATATAATAACCAACATCTGTTCAGTGTTTCTCCCGCCATCTTCCACAGATGGTCAAAATCCTGTGATTTAGAGGAGGCTGGCGGTGGGAATGAAATGCCAGCTGCTGTGCAATTGAAATGGGTATATGCATCATCCTCAACTGGATCACTGTTTTCAGAGCTTGACACTGATATACAGCTCTGTCACCTGACTAGATGAATGTGCTGCAATCCCTGATCAATTACACGCAAAGTGCTTTAGCCCTCAGTCCTGTCCCTGCCTGAAACTGTATGTTTTATTACGATGTGTTAAATATGAAGCTTCTTCCCCCTCAAAATATAACTTAAACATTTATGATGTCTGTTTTGGAAGTGGGCTTATGTTTTGAAGGCATTCTGTATGTGTGCCCAGTCTTTTGGCTGGGGAGATGTAAGTGCACAATGAAGCCGGAGTGTGTTACAGCAACACAATAGAGTACTGTCTTTGAATACTTAAAAGGAGCTTCTTTTTTTTTTTTTTTTTGGTAAAAATTACAAAATGAGACACAAGTACTGCTGGATGACAAATCATGTACTTAAAGTGTAGACAGGCACTTTAATGAAATGTTGCTGTACACAGTATATAAAAAAAACATGCACAGGGTTTTCTATTTATTTTCAATTTCATTATGTGAATCTCTGCTCCAAACAACTTGTCTGATGTTGAAAGGTTGAACAAAATGGCTGCAGAGTTTAATTTAAAACCACAAAAGTTGACCAAGGGGAGACAAGGTCCCATAATGCAATATGAAAACATTAGGGAAAGCACGAATCTACAGTTCACTGTTTTTTAGTACTAAATTAAGGCTCATAGACAACTCTTTCACTCTGGTTTGAATGCTTAAGCATATTCCGCCCAAGCTGACAAACTGACATCAGAAAAGGACTGACATTTTAGAGAGGGAGCAAATGGTTAGGTTGTTTTTAAAGATTACCAAACCAAACTCTCTTTTTTCGGTTTAACCTACACAGATTCATTTTTCCTCATTAAGACTAACCATTTGTGCTGACAAAATAAACATAAGCTGAAAGAGTCATTTCCAAAGTGGCTCAGATGTTGTAAAAATCTCATTGTGGTATGGACTGCAGCTTTTGTTTTGTATTATTATCATTATAACCCATCCTTATTGAGGTCTTATTTTAATTTTATTAAATTATATTGTATGTTATAAAATACAGCACCAATAATTAAAAGTATAACTTGACATTGTTTACATGTTTACCCAGTAATTACAATTCTGCATTTAATTTTTGGTAACAATCGCAGTATTGTTATTTAAATATTGGATTAATCATAGTTCAGAGTTTAGTAAAAATGTGTTGTTGTTCTCATAAACTGCTGTACCTCGGTGCTCCTATAAACTGGTATTTTACATTTCTAAGTTTTGTTCCTTCTGAACTTCACCTTCCGACTGGGTCATTTAACCAACTGGGTAAGTTGAATTTACAAATGATTGAATCATCCATGTGTTTTGTGAGCTGATTCAAACAGTTTAAAAAAGAACGAATCCAAAAGTCTAAATGATTTGCTTATCTTGATATCTCAATTTTGTCACTCACTCACTCAAAA